ATGTATATCTATCCATAGGTATAGTCTGTCTCTACATACCTATTATTGGTTGGTTGCTAGAAGATTTTAAGCAGTCAAATTTGAAAAGTAAAGATTTTTCAATATTTTTTTTTACTGTGAGTAAAACGGTACAGTCCAGGAGCCTGACTAAAGGTTTGGTGGTTGTTTCTCTCTTACTATTACAAACTAACAAAGACAAAATTTTCGTTTGATGATATATGCAGGACTAAAATATGCTGACCTTTTTCATTACTATTGCAGAATGGAGGTTGTTCTTTAGGGCAGCGAAAAAATCAAAACACGTGATTCTGTGACTGCTATTTTCCAATATCCTGCATATAAATCCCTGTTACTGAAAAAAATTTGTGTTTCTCGCTCCTCTCTCTTCCCTTTCTCAATAAATAAAATTTCACTGTACATCTCATTCCTATAAAACTTTCTCTTTCTCTTCTTCGTATCAATCACCTCAAGACCGGAGTGTAATATATATATAAACAAACACAGAGATGGTCAGTATCATTTTACATTAAAGAATCAATACTCTTTGATATCATTCCCGCTTGTGGCCAGTTGGCCCTAGATTAGAAGTCAAAAACCATTAACTTGTATGTGGAAATGAACATGTTGGAAAAAGAGTAAAGATATTATAACAAGAACAATTTATACTAACTCATTTTATTCAGGCCCCAAAATCCGCTAAGAACCAAGAAAACATCAACTCCAAGTTGGCTTTAGTTATTAAGTCTGGTAAATATACCTTGGGTTACAAGTCCGTTGTCAAGTCTTTAAGAACTGGTAAGGCTAAGTTAGTTATCATTGCTGGTAACACCCCAGTCTTAAGAAAGTCTGAATTGGAATACTACGCTATGTTATCCAAGACCCCAGTTTACTACTTCCAAGGTGGTAACAATGAATTAGGTACCGTTTGTGGTAAATTATTCAGAGTTGGTACTTTATCTATCTTAGATGCTGGTGATTCTGATATCCTTACTTCTCTTGCTTAAGTTTAGTAGTTGTGTATTATAGATTATAATATTTAATTAATAAAAACAAAAGAATAGGATAAAATAACTAACAAGCTATATTAGCTAATGAATAACCTCAATCTGTATTAAACTAAGTAGCTAATGCTTAATCTCAATCTGCATTAAACTATATATCCTCTTCATTCAATCTACTCTCTAATTCTGCTATCTCTTCTTGTTCTTTCCGTATAAGATGATCAAGAGCAACCTCTCCTTCATCGAATGCACCTTGTGGAACCTCATTCTCCAATGCCCTCAACGCATCTTCGAGATCGACAATCTCGCTCTCTAGTTGACTAATTGCCTCACTATCTACTTCATATTGTCTCTGATGATATCGTAATCTACTCACATATTGCGGATACTTTTCAAGTAAACTTGGCCTGGCCATAATAGCCCTATTTACACGACCAATAAGCTCTTCAACATTATCTGTATCTTTATCAATTTTGAAATATGGTTGCTTTGATAAATGTCGTCTCTTTTCATTAAACCTTGGACCTTTCACAATTGTATCTTCGATGCTTTCATCGTCATCTTCTTCGCCATAATCATGACGTAGGTCCGAGAGACTCATACTCGAATATACTGATCTACCATCTATCCTTTCGGGTACTACTTCCATTGTCGTGTCATTCACATATCCAAGACGCTTTCGAGAATGCAGAGTGTTGATAGGTTTGGATGCTTTATAAAGTGATGCTTCATCTGGATGCGGATCTAATACTAATCTGGTGATGTCTGGTGGATTCACCATTGCATTGGCAAACATTCCTGGCTTGCTGAATTCATTCTCCTCGATTGATTGACAGGACTGGTTTATTTGGTTTAGTATTTGACCTAATGGAGGCATCTTATATTAAATTGTTGTGCTGTTGTAATGATTGAATATTGGATGGTGATGGTTTGTTTACATTTATTTCGGAAGTGGTCTCAATTTTTTTTGGTGGGTCTAGAACAAATCTTCAGAGCGAAAAAAATATAAGAATTCAATCTCATCTGTCAATCCATCATCCATAACCAACGATGACAGTCGATTTAGATCAATACCTCAAACCGGGCAAAGATCATTACATAGCCCTTGGGTTAGAAGGTTCAGCCAACAAATTAGGAGTAGGTGTAACAAAACACAACAAGGGTCAATTATCACCAACAAATCGTGCAGAAGTACTCTCAAATATCAGAGATACATATATCACTCCACCAGGAGAAGGATTCTTACCTAGAGACACAGCAAGACATCATAGAAATTGGGTAGTTCGAGTTATAAAACGAGCAATTGCAACTGCCAAGATTGTTGGAAATGATATTGATTGTATTTGTTTCACCCAAGGTCCGGGGATGGGAGCTCCATTACAAAGTGTTGTCATTGCCGCTAGAACATTGGCACAATTGTGGAATATCCCTTTAGTGGGTGTGAATCATTGTGTTGGGCATATTGAAATGGGGAGAGAGATTACTGGTGCTGATAATCCGGTTGTGTTGTATGTTAGTGGTGGGAATACTCAAGTCATTGCTTATTCTAGACAACGATATCGTATTTTTGGTGAGACGTTGGATATTGCAATTGGGAATTGTTTGGATAGATTTGCCAGGACATTGAAGATACCTAATGAGCCTGCTCCAGGATATAATATTGAACAAATGGCCAAGAAGGGGAAACATCTAGTTAATTTACCATATACTGTTAAAGGAATGGATTTATCAATGTCAGGTATCTTGGCAAATATTGATGGAATTGCAAAAGATATGTTTGGAAAACAGAAGAAACAACTTCTAGATGAAGAAACTGGGGAACCAATTACTGCAGAAGATTTATGTTTCTCCTTGCAAGAAATCTTATTTACTATGTTAGTAGAAATTACTGAAAGAGCATTGGCGCATGTCAATAGTAATCAAGTTTTAATTGTTGGTGGGGTAGGTTCAAATGAAAGATTACAAGAGATGATGAAATTAATGATTGAAGATAGAAAAAATGGACAAATATATGCCACTGATGAAAGATTCTGTATTGATAATGGTATTATGATTGCCCATGCTGGATTGTTAAGTTATAGAACTGGTCAAGTGAATGAATTAGAACATACAGTATGTACTCAAAGATTTAGAACCGATGAAGTATTTGTTAAATGGAGAGATGATTAAATGCACATGTTTATTATTATACCTTTTATAAGCTCCCTTTTTATGTCGTGTAGAATTCCAATCGACCAATAGCGAATAGGGAAAGCAATTCCAAATTTTGGAATGGTCACTGATTTCTCCTATTATGCATTCCTTCGGGAAAGGGGTTAACCCCCCCCATGTTTGGTCGTACATCAACTTAAATTTTTTGAAAAGGCAAGTCAATATTCTTCATGGCATTGTCAGAAGTTGCTAGTTATTGATCCTTGTCAGATACGGATTTGACATTCTTTTTCACATATTTTTCCAATATCTCATTCACCGTTGCATTTCTCGAATATTTACAAGAGTCATCGATCACCCGTTCACAACTCCGTAATAAACTAGCCAGTTTCCTAACCTTGGTTCCATTCCATTTATTTGCCGGACCATTGTAATCATGTGCCTCGGCAGCTTTGGCGTCTTCTAATGAATAAAATTCGACAATGGCACTACCATATCTATCATCATGCCCTTCCACGGTGACATCTTTCACAACTCCAAACCTAATCATTATTTGTCTAATGACACGTGCATCCAGCATTTCAGATTTGTATTTATACTTTAATCTCACTTTTGTTGGTAAACTACTATAATCCGTTATGATATGATCAATAGGCAAATCATAAATCGTAGTCACTCCATTAGTTTTCAATTTCTCATTTAATAATTCCTGCTCTTTGGCTCGTCTTCGTTTTAACCCTTCTTCTCTCAATTTATCCAAATCATTATCCCATTTCCGTTTCTTTCTCAGTTCATCAACTCTCTTTTCATTTGCTTTTAATTCATCCTGGAATCGTTTTGTCAATTCATCCAATTTTTCTCGATTGATCTCACGAGATCGTTTTGCCGCAATTAAATTGTCATATTGAGATCGGAGACTGGGGTCACTTAAGATTTCATAACTTTTTAATAATAGATTGAATTTGGATTCATCTCCACTTTGTTTATCTGGATGGTATAATAATGCTTTTTGTCTATATGAACGTCGTATTTCCTGACTGGTGGCATTGTATTGCACTTGGAGAAATGAATATATGTCGATGTTATTGCTTATTATGTTATTTATAACGTCATCCATCTCTTGTCTTGGTTTATAGATTGATAAAAGAAATAGAGTGAGATGGAGAATATCGGAGCGATTTTTTTTCTCTCCGGGATTTATTTGGGTGCAAAGTTGGTGAACAAAATTGGACTACTCGAAGCAACCATAGAGAAAGGATATACTTAGAGATAGAGGCTTCCTCAAGAGTGGATTAATTCCAGGGAGGTTTGATCTAAAGAATCAACATAATTCTGTCTAATGAATAATACATCAGCTTTATCTCTGAACTAAAAAACTAATAATAAAAAGTAAATATGATTTATAAAATGCCAATAACATAAAAAAACAGATCTTAAATAAAATATGGCAGGGAAAAAGAATGAGAGCCCAATAAGCCCTCAACTAATTACAATCCATGTCTTTTAATAAAAAACTTTTCCCCTACCAAAAAACGTGTTTGCCGTGAATAATTTATATGTTATAATCTAAAGTGGTATGGTTTTTTTCATTTTTGTTTCATGATATTAAATAGTGATGGTTGTGGTTGTTGTTGTTAGATCTATGACTTAACAGTTCTTAATCCATGAGTAGATCTGAAAATAGCATCTCCTTCAGCATATCCTCTACCTAAACCGAATCCAACACCTAACCATACTGGGAATGATCTTCTCTTGAATATTAAAATAGACGCCAAGACACCTCCACCAAATCCTAAACCGGTCTTAATTAAGGCATTGGACAACACGACATCCCATTTTTCGTTTAATAAGTTTTGAGAAGGAGTGGTGATTTGTTGTTGTTGTTGTTGTTGTTGTTCAGACATGCTATTATATTAAGCGTTAGTATTTATCGCTGGACGAGTTTTTTGTAGGAGACAATTTTTTTTCTCGAGGTGCAAGCTTCGTTTTCATGACCAGAATTCACATCGAGTAGTAACTATCATAAATTGCCTCTCCATCCACAGACATTTCAAAACATACTTGTGTATATACTTCTACTATTAATATTCTTTCTAAAGTGTGTAATCTTTCCAATTCTGTTGAAATTTTTCAATTTCTCGAAAATTGATAATTTTTCTGGTGAATTTTGGTTGGATGAAAAAACACTGAAAAAAAAAATTCAATACTATCACGTGACATTATTGAGTTTTGTTAGCAATTCCGAGGGTCAGTGGTTGCAAAACCAACCACAACCCTCTCTCTGGGGAATTGACACAAGATGAGGCGAGAGTATACATCCTACAAGCTAATCTTTTCTAATATATATCTAATTTAAAAGAAAAAAAGAATCGGCTACAATAATACAATTTTATACATATACGACGAAATACACTCTATAAAAACCTCTCCCCCAATTAGAAAGTTTTTCCATTCATCACCCTACGAATATCACTCTTTCTACTCCCCGGAATCAAATCATTCTCATATTCCAACTCACTAATACCAAACAGATGTTGTGATCCGTTATTATTTTGGGCTAATGAACCAGCTGGAACAAATTTTCTTGCCTTTGTGATTTCCGTAACGGGATTCACCATGACTACTGAATTACGACTGACTTGAGTTGCCGAAGGTGGCAGCATGGGACTATTTGCGTCATAGGAACTTTCATAATAGCCGGTGCCTTGTTGGAAATCGTCAAACGGCATGTATGGTCTCATTTGAATTGGTGGGGATTTGGTTCTATATTTGGCTGTCGCGTTGGGGACAGTATCCAAAGGTGGTGAAAATTCTCGTGATGCTTGTCTTGATGGAATTTTTGCTGGTTGTAGTTGTTGTTGTGAGTGTTGGTGACGATGGCGATGGGATGGTCTATTCATATGACGCTGTTGTTGAATATAGTTGGCGTATTGCTGTTTTTGAACCTGTTGATACAATTGAGGATCAATAGGTTGTCCATAGTGTTGTTGATAGTTTTGATTGAATTGTTGGGTATATATTTGCTCTTCCTCTGGATGTTGTTGACGGGGTGATGCGATACTGTCATATACTGAAGAAGCGGTACTGAATCTAGCTGAATCAATTTGATCGTTTTGCTGCTGTTGTTGTGGTTGTTGTTGTTGTTGCATACCTGGTGATGATGCATTTTGTTCTTCAAAATATACCTTGTATACTGATCTCATTCTCTTGAGTTCTTCTTGCTGTTGGTTGGATAAAACCTGGTTTTCTTCGTCCACTTCTACGTCATCTTCCGCATCACTGTCATTCTTCAACAAATTAAATCGAGAAAGTCTTGGGGAAGCTTTAGTTGGTGGTGGAACTGATGTCGCATCGCTGTCATGCTTGTCGGTGTCTGTTGTTGAGAATCTAAAATTATCCTGTGAATCATTTTCTTGAGTATATGTAGCCGTTGTTTCATGATCTTCAAATGGAGATATATTTCTGTCTGTAGAATCTGATAAATCGGCCAGTGCTGTTTTTTCAATATCTCGATCACCATCATGAAATTGTTCTTCCTTCTCAAGACCACGATGATCTGATTTTTCTCCTGTAGACGATAAATCTTCCATTGAATATTGTTCACTGTATGGCTTTGTGGAATTCAAATTTTCTGTAGATTCTAAACGTTTTTCATAACGGAGATTTGACTTAGTAGGAGATCTGACAGCGGATTGATCTAACTGATGTATGGAAGCCGATGAAGGAGTAGTATATCCTTGTAAATCGTAAAAACTTCTAGTATAATCATCCAAAGACGATTTTGATCCCGTTTGATGGGTATAAGGTAATATAAATCCATATGGATCTGCTTTTGGTGGTGGTAAATTGGTAGCTTGTTGAGTAGGAAGTTGCCCATACGGTGAATATTGAGATGCAAGGTTTTGTTGCATTTGTCTAGGAGGAGGTGGATGTTGTTGTTTATATTGACCGAGGACAGATTGGTTTTCATATCCTGATTGGAAAGGGTTAACCCCTCCGAAATAAACATCAGGAATGGCAGTGGCTTCACCATTTTCGTCAAAATCAGGGTCGTGTTCCATACTTTCTTTTTTATCCTTACGATAATTTCTATAAAGGAAATAACCCAATACACACGCAATTAATACCAAAGGTAGCACAATGGATATTGCAATGATTAAAGTATTACTACTGACTGGTTTTTCACATAGGTTTGAATCTTTATGATATTCACAATAATCTGAGGAAGTTGGATTATTTCTATCTTCTGATGAAGAACTATCAGCTCTTATTTCAAGTGATCGCGTTGCCAATAAATGTTCTATATGCGTTTTATCTGCCATATTATTGGATGATTATGGAATTGCCTTGGGAGGGAAAATAAACAACTACCAAGTGTACTTTTTGTATGAATCAACTGATCTTAAAATGAAATTATAAATAGATTTGGAATTTAGGAGATCTAAACTATTTGTTTTTTGGGCCAGTCAGATACAAACGGAGAGTGGGTTAAATGAATGACTATAAATAATAAAAAACGAATGACTGTGTTTATGTATCTGGCTTGGTTGAAAAAGAATTTTCAGGCTGTGGTGGGTAGTGGGTAGTGGGTAGGTGGTTAGTGGGTGATACTTAAAAAGGAGAAGGAAAAAAAAAATGGATTAAAGAAATTTTTTATTTCTATTTTTATTTTTATTTTAATGCAAAAAAGTTGTAAAAGTTGTAAAGAAAGAAATAATCAACGATTTTTAAATTTATTTTTTAATGGGATTTAATTTCGGTTATATGCTAAATTTCTATTGATGTTTGGATGTTATCATGTACATCTCCATCTATTGAAGTAAGGATGTTTCCCGAGAAAGGAAAAATGTCAACAAAACAACAAACTCAGAAAATAAATTTAATTTAATTAAATTAATTTTCTTCAAACACACGCGCATCAGATTTATTCTCAATCAGCCACATGACACACCCAACTGGAGATTGTACTAGCACAATATAGAGGCCTAGACTAAAATAGCCCCCAAGGACAGGTCTAAACGCATCATCAGTCCAATCATTGAGTACCTCGCTAATACTTAACCAAGAAATAGTCGAAGAATATCTGCTACATTTAGGCATACAACTGATATTTCAGATCTAAAATAGCCACCCACACAGTAACACAAAACCTACGAAGGCGGTCCGTAATTACCGAATTAGAAGAAGAGGCATACAGATGTAAAACATCATCCACTATAGTTGAAATGTTGTTATGTATTAGGTTATGAACCGTAGAGCCAATATTATCTAGAGATAACCCCTTCGACATTTGATAGAAACTACATCAAAGTAGAATGGTCTCTTTTTCTACAAAGTTGATGTTTGAACAAAGAATTTATAAAGGGGCAGAATTTTTTTATTATTAGAAAAAAGTTTAAAAACTACGAGAGAGGAAAAAAAAATTTTAAGGTTTTTATTACGAGAGATAATTCATTTTTTAATTCCACTGGACAATGTACATTTCCTAATATGATTCAAAAAATATTTATATAAAAGATTCATTGTCCCATTTAAAAATAAGTCAAATTTGTTATTTTGTGATTTGACTTCCCAGGTTTCTCGATTTAGTAACTTAATTGACGATTCACATGAGTAGGGTCGTGTGTGTGGCAATGGCTTACAATACACTTCAGTTGAGGTGTAAGCCTTGGTAAACAGGGAAACCAAACTCGAAATTATACCACGGGGAGTCAAGGGATATCCGTCAGTATTGTAATCTGGAGGAGATTGTATCCCCCTCCTAACGATGTTTGCTACATAAGATAATATTGAACAATATGATCTTCCACACAGTGTGGCCAGATCTGAAATTACCGAACTTTATTTCATTAAAAAAGTTGCAAATTTTTGCAGCATTTTTTTATTAAACAAAGCAAAAACAAGCAACAGGACATGCAATTGCTAGCAACAATTAAACTTTTGTGTCGAGGTTGTGATTGAATAAGTGATCCCATATCTGCTATGAAAGCTGGGGAATGAAAGAACAATGAATGCCTCATTGATTGTTTTTACCCATATAGAGAGTCAACATAGCGAGCTTTGCAACAGAGTTTGACGGCTGAATACTTAGCCTTTGTAAATACCTAACTATACTGCGGTTGTTTCAGTTATAACACTTAAATTACATACCCTTGGTTCCTTTATGATATCAGATATAGCACTCCTGGTCTTCTTTCTGGAAAATATCAACAATGTCAATCACATTAAGATCCCTGATTGTTGCTAGAGAATTTCCCGGAATCCCATTTTTTTTTTTGCCAACAAGACAACGGAAAAGGAGACAACTACAAGTGGAGCTTATCCACCTGACACATGTAGTTAAAAGTTGACGAATCTGTTGCAAACTCTTCCAAAAATAGAAAATGATTACTGTATAAAGCATTATCCTATCTACAAACTCGCGCAATCGAATTGGCACTGACAATGGCTCAGCTTACCTGAGCAACATTACTTTTCCATCTACTTGTAGGTTTCGACTGAAATTTCCAATGTATGTCTATATGCAAGATTGATCTGTCAGATACATTTTTCTCTTAATACTCAAAGTACATTCACCCAGTTGGTGCATCTCTTGGGTGTCTCCTTAACAATTTGACGTTCCCCACTCATTTTTCTACAATCTACAATACTTAGTCAAACTACATATAAATGTATATCGAAAACATATATATACAAGATTAAAGACACACACATACACTACGTAGTATCATATTCCTAATTCATTTATAATGTTGCTGGAGTTACAGCTTCTGAAGTTGCCCCTTCTGAATGAGCCACTGGAACAGCAGCCAATTCACCATCAGTATAATGAGCCTTAAAGAATGAATAATGTAAAACAATATCATCAATGTTTCTCATATATGGATCCTTAGCAAATTCCGGATCAATAAAGAAGAATACCGGCATATCAACTTCTTCACCAGCACTTAATCTTTGTTCTTCAAAACAAAAACATTGAATCTTATTAAAATAAGGTGCTGCATTATCTGGAGTAATTGAATATGTCGCCATACCAATAATATCTTCCTTAGATACGTTCTTGGCTCTATAGAAAGCTAATGCGGTTTCACCAGGCACGACATAAACTTCACGTTGTAATGGAGTGAATTTCCAAGGTAAAATCCCAGAAGATTGACAAGTAAATTGAATTCTGATTCTTTTATTAGTATCCACTGGAATTAATTTATCAGGAGTAAATAATGTTTTGTCAGTGATTGGAATCCCACCAAATCCAGTACGTTGACAAAAGGCTTTATACATAGGTACAGCCAGGAAAGCAAGGGCTAAGAAAAGAACACCAACTGAACAAGCATAATAAATGGCAGTTCTATTTCTGAATTTTTGTCTTTCCTCTCGTTCACGAGCTAATCTATCAACTCTTTCTCTTTGTGCTTCAATGCTGGTAAACTCCTGTTCTTGGAATTGGAATTTGGTTGTATGAAATAATCTAGCAGTGAGTGGTAATGTCCTCATGACTGGAGAAGAACGGAACAATAGTAAACTACTACTACTGATACGAGGAGCTCTTGCTATATGCCTTATTAATGGCGAGACTCTAACTAATCCTATCATCTTTTGTCTTTATAATTAGAAATCGTTTGGTAATAAGGAAGTTTACTAATTAATAATGAAATTTCTCAAATGGTATGATTTTTTTCCGGTCGTTTCAAATCCCATTTGGTAGTGAACCCTTCGCTCCATCAAATCCCATTCCCTTAGAATTGCTTTTCAAATACAGTCCATCCAATTACTTCCCCCAATCAGGAACTTTCCAAAGACAAACGACGATGTTGAGAATACAGAGCATAGCCAGCAAGATTCCTAGAAGATGCTATTCAATAAAAGTACCAAAAATAGAAGGAAATCCTCCTCATATAGCAATCACCAATAGCAGCAACCCACCGCAAAAACCTCGTCTTTCTCAATTTAGAACAGCTGCTATACATGTACTTATAATAGCAGGTACAGTATATTGTGCACTTCATTTACAATGGTATAAATTGGAATATGCGGAATTGGAACCAAAATTAGTTGACCGTGCTAAAGAATTGGAAACAACGATTCAAGAATTGGTGGATGAGAAGAAGGCAATTTTGATACCTAATGAGAAAAAGAATGGATGGTTTAGTTGGTTGGGAGGGAACTAAGCGATGAGAACCTTTATAGAATAATTAATTACATCTGTACAAATATATTTATTGTGTAAAAATATACATAACTACATTACAAACTCTAATCTTCACTTCTTTTCTTAAATCTTGTTTTAAATTGTGCCAATTTCGACGCCGTACTCGAAGTTTCACTACCACTTGCAGTCAGAGGAGAATTCATACTAGTACTATCAAAAAGACCAGCACTACCACCACTAGCTAATCTTCTATGATCCACTTGTGTATCCTTAACCTTTGAAATCAACAGTATACCGTCTTCCAATTTAATTCTATCAAAATTCCTCATTCTAAAAGTTGAATTAGTTACAAATTCATCATAATTCTCCAATTTAAGTAAATCGATACATTGTCTTAATTCGGTGAATGTGGATTCCAAAGCCATTGTGTTTCCATCTTTTGACATTGTTGCATCTTGAAGATTATTTTTCATTGATTCTTCTAAATATTTAATATCTAAATCGAAATTATCAATAAACGTTCGATTGAAATATGGAGCACCTTTCAAAACATTAAGGAAATGAACTGAAACATGATCATATGTTTTGAATAACCCTAATGTTCTAAATGTAGATGGTAAATTTGAAAAAATTGATGTAAACATATTTTCCAAGAATAAGGCAAAATCTTTAACTGAATAATTAGCTTCACTATTCTTTTCAAGGGTTATATAATCAGTATATTCAACCATATCTAATAATTCATTAATCTTAGTATCAACCATTTTGAAAATCGTTTCTTCAGAATATTTCCTTAAATTCTTAAACCTTTCCACTGCTTGAAGAGTGAATGTATCATTGGTATCAATATTATGTATTCCCATCCCAGTATATTGTCTTAATTTACGATTCACCATTCTTCCAACTTCATAAAGACTAAATAAATAATATTCTAAATTTGTATAAGTTTGAACCACAATTTCTTTATTGTTTATATTCTTTTTAACAAAATCTTCAATATCATAAACAATACCTGATCCCTTTTTATCACTCAAAACTAATTCAATGATATTATGAACAATAATTTCATTAATTTCCGTTATTTCATAATTATAATGTTCACTTAAGAATGTTAATACATCAGTTAATAAAGTTCGTATTCCATAACAATAATGGACATAATCTTCACTGAATGGGAAAGTAACTGGTGCCTTGGTGACATTTTCAGGGGCAAATGGAGCATCCTTTTTATACCAGACGATTTTCATAATATTTTCATAATCAGTCATTGAATCAACTGAAAGTGGCATATAATGATCAGAAGTTATAGATTCAATAAATTCACTTCTAAATTCTTGGACCATTAATGGAGCGAAATAATCTTTAAACATTAACATCATGACTTGATATAAATCACTTACATCATAAGAATAATTATCCATAACTTGTAAGAAATCCCCAATTAAATTTTTGAATTCATTTAATGATTCTATATTATCAAATTGATTTCGTTTTAGATTATAGATTAATAATGATTTTAATTTAGATACATAAGATATCCATAATTCATCAGCCTGATTATTTGTTCTTAATTGGAATTTTGTAATTAAATTCAATTGTTTATCCATAATGAAAAATGCCGTTATTTTACGTAAATATTCACCTAATTCTCGATTATTCAATATTACTTCTTTTTTACTTACTGATGCAGGAGTTAATGGATATATAATTCTATTATATTTCTTCATCCATTCCTTATGATATGCACTTACAAGGGATTCACTTTCATGTAATGTTTGATATACTAGTATTGCATCATATATGCTATTCAAGGGGATTTGTAATGTTTCATCTTGGAAGATATTATAATTGGTAGCTGGATCTCTTAAAGATATTTCAACTGGGGAATTTAGTTTATAAGGTAAGAATGTTCGATTATTTTCTTTAGTTTCTTCCCAATTTTTTTGTAATTTATGTAAATTATCAAATATTCTTTCACCAATTGCTAATAATTTCCGTTCAAGATTTAAACTTAACCATTTACTTAAATTTTCAAAAGAATCTTCTTTAACCATTTTAGTTAAATGAGGAATTGAATCTTCAATTTTCTTTGCAAATGTAAAATCTTCAACTTTTAATAAATGAATACTGGTTAATTCATCAATTAATTTCAAAGCACTGAAATATTTCGTTTGTCTAATTAATTCTAAAATCTTATTAGTTAATTCTAATACTTGAATACATTCATTAAGCACAACTTGAGTTTCATTAATTCTTCCTGAAACATTTTTATATTTAACATAATTCTTCTTTCTTTGCATTAATTCAACCGCTGATTTACTTAATTTCTGATCAACATCAACAAGTTGACCATTCAAATCATTTGCTTCTTTGAAGATATTATCAATATTATTGATACAAGTATTAATTTCATCAGCAGATTCCATTGATGCTTGATTTAATTCTTCATCTTTTTGTTTCACAATTTCATTCAATTTAACAATAAGATTTGATAATCCATTGACTTTAATAGCTTCTTTGATTATTGGAGCTAAACTTTCTAAATAATCTTCTGAATTAAGTGAAGTTTGAAAGATATCTTCATCTCGTAAAAGTAAATTCTCTAAATGTAAACTATCTAGCCCAAGGCCATCACTGCTGGTACCATTGGCAGCGTGGCCATTTGTTGTTGTTGGATTGTTATTTACCATTATAGTTGGGGGGTTTGTTGATACACCAATCGATCCATTGGCATCTGAAGAAGTTCCACCTCCATTATTGACCAGAAATGTCATATCTACGAATGTGCGTGTTTACCTTTTTATGTAAGTTTATGCGTGAAACTATCTTGTTTGGTCGTCGTCAAAAAAAAGTGGCTGATGATTTGTGTTTTTGATTTTCGTTTGGCTGGAGGTTCCAATTTAAAACGTTTCCACCCAATCGGACTTCACGATTGTTTCTTCTCCCCCTTAGATTTATGAGCTAAGAGCAATGATCCCAAATCATATCTTAGTTCTTGGATCCCCTAATAGTGGGAAGGTAAGAATAGCGCAATTGATAAGTCAAGATCAAGACTTTGATTATCATGATGTTTCAGAAGATAATAGCCATAGTGGGATTATCGTCAAGACATCTTTGAGTACGAAATATTATTCAATTGACCTCAACATCTTAATAGATGAATATCCTGAATCTAGAGATGATCTTAGTGAACATTTCACTGATGAAACTAAATTAGCAGATTTACATGAATGGTATGACGAATTTATTAGTGAAGATTATCAGGAATTACGAGACGCTTTGGATGGGATTATATTTACAGTAAATTTAGAGCAGGACTCTCCCGAGCTTATCACAAAAGCAATGGAAATAATATCTGACATCAGGAATGCAATGGCTGGTCATGATGACGATGATAATCTGGATGGTTGGTTAGGTTTTGTTGCGGTTGTTGGTACTCCTTTGATACAACTGAATCAGGAAGTATCTAAAGAAATTTTAGATGAAATTGAAGATGTAGTGATTCTGAATGGATTTGAATTTATTAATTTCGCAGAAGAAGGAATGAATGAATATCGTGAAAAAAGAGGTAAAGATAGAATAATTGAATTACTTGAGACTCATGAATGGTCAAATATGGAATTAAAGAAGAATGATCACTATAAAGAAAATAAACTTAACAAAATAGAAGAAATGAAAGTGGGATTACTTGAAAAAGAAGGTCCATCTGATGATGATGATGAAATTGATAAAATATTTGAAAAATTAACAATTGCAAAACATCACATTCATTCTCTTCCTCAGGATCAAAAGGAAAAGTATGCAAATGATGTCGTGGAAGAGATTATAGATTTTATATAGTTAGATTTGTAAATGAATCGTTTATGCCAAAGTTATAGTAGAAACAATAGGTTCATCATATGTGTTTAATGGAATATCTATATTTATTTACTTCTTACATACACCCACCGAGATTTCTGAATAGACTTTCTTTAAAGGAAAGTAGTTGCAAGTAAGTAAAGCATGGACCATCTTTCTACTAAAGAGGCCCTATTCTCAGTTATTGCAAACCCAAATGGCCCATTCCTCCTTTCTGAAGTCCAATTTTGAAACGGCCCATTTGATCTAACAATTGATGAGCTAGTGGAATTTTTGTAATTCGGTCTTTTCCCACCAGTTCTTATTGTCATTTTAGATGAATTCCCTCCCTCTGAATTGATATACGCATTTGACCGAGCCAATGCTTGATGTTTAACACTAGCAAAAACTGACGAATCCGATTCGGAATCTTTTCCACTCATAGAAGGAAATTCAAACGCAATTTGACAGTAGATTTCTTGTATACCCTTTGGAGTTACATCAAGCTTCCCATTCTCCTTATCAAGTTGATGACAATCTTTTGAACAAATGCTATGAAGTCTCCAAAAGTCAGATCCAAGTTGACAAATACATGAGAATGCTTTCGTTTCATTATTGTCAGATGGAATCACACATTCATTCACTACGATATCCCGGGCTTTGATACAGCTAGCACAAAAATCTTCCTCGCCTCTTTTGGATAGTTGGTGGACACGGCTTGTATCTAATAGTGGCAAATCGATTGCCGAAACGCCAATAATAAGAACCAATGTTTGAATTACGTAGTTCCTTGACACAAACAACATACTTAAATGAGGTTGCTAGAGTAAATAAACATAAAATGCTTATACGGGATTGAACCGACAAAGGAATTCACAGATGATATATATACTCCTAGCTGAATAACAAATAATATGCTCATCATTGGTTTGTTAGAGGAAGTAGTATAATTGATATGCCGCAAACTATTGGCTGCAAAAAAATGAATATCATGGATGCAAATAAAACCTGTACGAAAGTGGTTGTGATCTATCTAATTTCATTATTGCCCTCTCTCAACTCACCCTATGACATCTTTCTTGACTCTTGACTATGGTTTACAAGTATCTAACAAGATCTACAACCATGGGAAACCGAGCGTTGGGTGCTTCAGTAAATGATATCTTTCTTACTTTGTTCTTACGATGATATACATCCCTAGATAGACTTTGCAGTATAATGTATAAACATAAATCTACAGATGCTTCTAAGTAGAATCATGGCATTCAATAGAGCATTCCTTAATATTGTACCTCGGACAGTAAGTACAATAATAATCTAAGTCCCAAAATAGCCAAGTACATCGTCATTTGATCACATGATTTAATTTGCGTGCGGCTCATGAAAACGCAAAACAAAAAAAAAATATTTGCCATTAGTAATAATAAAATGGTGCCACCCAGAAAAGTCATTCCTTATTGGTGAAGCCCCCCCCCCAGTTAATCCTTTTTATGGTTGTTTAATCAAGAATCATCTAGTTTGAGTTTGATTCCAAGATGTCTGATTTCCCTAATTTGA